GAGTCTCATCCTCCCTCATACTCAGCTGGCTGAGGGCTGGGGGGGGCTCCACGGCAAGGAGATGCCAGGCCGCTCCATGGGCGGGTGGCCTGTGGAGTCACACAAAGCTCCACACTCAGAGGGCTTGGTTTAATACTCTGCTGGGTCAACTTGAAATTTGTAATAACTTATTTCATAGTAATTTTTGAACAAAGGGGCTCTGCATTTTCATTTTGCCCGGAGCCCCATAAATTATGTAGCTGGCCCCAGTGGAGGCCCGCATTGCCCACACACCCCTCCCTCTCTGGGCCCTCCGCACTCCATTCTCACACTCAATAAAAACTAAGTGGGGATCTACTTTGTGCTGAAAACTAGTGCTAGATACTTGGGGATTCGGTGATGAACAACACAGACAAGGCCCTGATTTCACCCAATTGCCACCTGCACACACTCAGACACTCATATATTCACAGTTTTACAAGACAGCTCCCCTAATAGTCATAGTAACGACCAATTAAGGAATACTCAGCCCATGACAGGAAGTATACATACTTCATCTTGTTTCATCCTCACAACAGGCAGCCAGGGAAACATGATGATCCCCATTTTCCAGATGGAAAAACGGAGGTTTTGAGTTCAAATCCGTTGTCCAGGGTCACATAACCAATCAGCAGCATAGCAAGGACCTGCCCTGGTCTCTCATTTTAACCTCTCCTCTCCTCCCCCACCACACACTCATTGCGTTCAGCACAATGGATTGAAGCTGCCAGCATTTCCATGTCCCCGGCCCCCAGCACAGAGCTACATTTTTTATTAAAGGAAAGAATTCAGATACAGACATACTTCCCAAGAAACATAAGGAAAGAGACACACACTGAAACACAAGAAAATATGTCTGTAACACATAGTGTACTGGATGAGAGGTGTCCAGTTCTGGACTATTTGGATTCAAGTCCTGACTCTACTGTGTATTAGGTATGTTTCTGTTTTGTTATCTGCAAAATGAGAATAGTGACAGGGTTGTTGTGAATACGATGAGAAATGCAGGTGAAGTGCTTCTACTAGCCTTGGCGCAGTCACTCTTCCATAAATGTTAGCTGTTGCCATGAACAGCATTTAGGCGCACTCACACCTGTTCTCAAGCCCATCACACCATCTTCCCAGCCCTCTCCCAGCTTAGCTCGGTCCTAGATACCCTCATGGCTTCCAGTCCAGGCCCCAGAGCCAGGAGGGCAGAGCAGCCGCTTCTCCCAGCATCCTCCATCCTCCAGGGCTTTACCTGGGCCCACTCATGTGTGTGGAGGGGGAGCAGGAGGGCCTGGGCATGTGATGCTCCTCACCAGCTCTGGGTCTATCAGAGAAGGCTTCCTGGAGGAGGCCTCCACCCAAGCCGGTTGAGCCAGGCTGAGGCAGGAGGGTGTTGCCCTGTGCCTTGGCTCCCTCCACTGTTCCTCACAACACCCACCCTCCAACCTCTGAGGCAGCGCCCTCTCTCCACCCCCTTCCCCACAGTAGAAACTTTCCTCTCCTCCTGCCAGAAGCGTAAATTGCCCCCAGGAATGCACTGCATCCCACAGTTCCCCTGGCAGTGGCCGGCTGCAGTCCTGGGGTCAGGCCTGGCCCTACATCAAAGGCTAGGGATCCATAACAGCGAGGCTCCTCGCCTGCTGCCACCCTCCCCCGCCTCCCACCGGCCCTCTGGCTTCCAGGGAACAGCACATGGTAGCACTTAAGCTCTGGGAGAACAGGGAGTTCTACATTCTTCAGTTTACTTGAGAATATATTCGTTTTGTTTATATACTACCATCCACAATGAACTACTTGTTAGGAGACTATTTTAATTTTACTTAATGCAATTTCTGCTCCTGGGCCTCTGTTGCACCTCCTTCTCAGACCTGGATGCCCAGTACAAATGTAAGGAGGGCAATGCACCAGGGAAAGGCACAACCCGAGTATGGAAATATCCCTGGTGGGAGCCAGGCTGGTGCTCTGGTGTCCACTTAGGAGGTAAGGGGTTAGTTAGGGGAGGGCTCGGAGCTAGCTTGTGCAACTCAGCAGTCAGCCCGAGGGTCTGGGTGTGTATGGGGGCCACAGACTTCTTTCCAATGCCCTGGGCGCAGTAGGCAAGCCCTCAGCCTGGCAACCCTCTGAGCTTTGCATTCAGGTCCAGCGGGCATGATGAAGGAAGGGGGCGCTTCCTGGCTCAGACCAGCTTCTGAGATTTACTCCATCAGGTGCATCTTCTAGCAAATTCTGAAAACCAGGGGTCCAATGGTCACTTTCTGGAACAGTAAGTGGTGATCTGGAGACCCCTGGTGGCCAAAGGCTACAGAACAAGGCCTTTCCTTAGAGGTCTGCCCAGCCATTGTCAAGCCCAGCAGGACCCCTCCAGCCCCAGAACTCCTCTGTGACCAGGCTCTTTGGGAACCCTCCATACTCAAATCTTCCCACGTAGCCAGGCACACCCGCCCCATCTTGCATGCCAGGACATCAAGGGGAATGGGAATCGCCCAGCCTGCGGTCAGGGGAGGGTCCCAGCCTCACGTCACAGCAAAGCACAGGGATATGGAATCTACGCTAGTTAACTCAGGGGTGGGGGACCAGCAGTATGTTTGGCTCATCTGGGAAAGATGACGAGGTGATGTTCCAAATAGCTCTTTCCTTTCCCTCACACAACGGCACATCACACTGTGGGGCTGGAGCTGGGAAAGGCACTAAGGGGCTTTGTTTCCACAGCTTGCAGACCCGGTAAGGTTGCCCAAGATTAACTCTGGGAAAGGAAATATCCAAAACCTCACGCCATACAAACGGCGGCTGGAAAGTAAGTTGTGGTACTGAGAGGGGAGGAAGGGGGAGGAAGGGTGAGGGCCCCCCTGGAGAGGGGAAAGGGTGGTGCAGCTCACTTTTCTTGGCAGGGTCTGGACACCACACAACGCTTTCCATGTCTGGGTCCCAGCCTTCATTTCCTTCACTTCTCCTTCATTCACTCAAAACCTAGTGCAACTGGACCCAGCCTTATACTGCGTTCTCAGAAAACAGTTGGCCAAAATGAGGTGCCTGCCCTGGGCCCCAAATTGTACCTGGAGGGGGAAGTACAGACTTAAGAGAAGGGTGGGATCCCAGAGGGAACATGAGCCCCCTATACTTGGAGACACAAAAGTGACCTTTCCTACTCCTGGCCTGATGGCTCAGTCAGTTGGAGCATCACCCCATCCACCAAAAGGTTGTGGGTTCAATTCCTGGTCAAGGCACATACCTAGGTTGTGGGTTTGATCCCCAGTCGGGGTGTATACAGGAGGCAGCCAATTGATGTTTTTCTCTCTCTCCCTTCCTCTCTCTAAAATCAATGGAAACATACCCTTAGGCGAAAATTTAAAAAAAAAAAAGTGAGCCCAGTCAGTGTGGGTCAGTGGTTGAGCATTGACCTATATGAACCAGGATGTCACAGCACATGCTTGGGTTGTGGGCTCCATCCCCAGTAGGGGGCATTCGGAAGGTGGCCAATCAATGATTCTAATTGATGTTTCTATCTCTCGCTCCCTCTCCCTTCCTCTTAAAAGCAATTTTTTAAATACATTTTATTGATTTTTTACAGAGAGGAAGAGAGAGGGATAGAGAGTTAGAAAGATCGATCAGCTGCTTCCTGCACACCCCCCACTGCGGATGTGCCCGCAACCAAGATACATGCCCTTGACCAAAATTGAACCTGGGACCCTTTAGTCCCCAGGCCAACGCTTTATCCACTGAGCCAGACCGGTTAGGGCGAGCACAGAAATCTTATTGACCATCTGTTCATTTCCAAACACTATAGAAGTATGCCACTCTTAAGAGCATGGGAATTTGGATTGAGGAATAAATAAGAAGGTAGATGTTTCTCTCTCATCGATGTTTCTAACTCTCTATCTCTCTCCCTTCCTCTCTGTAAAAAATCAATAAAAATATATTTTAAAAAAATAAAAATAAAAAATAAAAAAATATTAAAAATTTTTAAAGTGAGCTGGAAGAGGCAGGTCATGTGCAAACTGCCTCTCTTCCTGGTGTCCCAGACCCTGGTCCTAACCTACAACCAAGAACTCTTCAAGCACAATGCATCATTACCACGCCTCATCTCAGGCCTGTCTACTAACCTTCGGGAAGGCCCAGGGGCCCCGTTTCCCAGACCCCAACAACCTGAGTATCTGAACCTTAAGGCCCTAGAGCAGCCGTGGGCAAACTACGGCCCGCGGGCCGGATCCGGCCCGTTCGGCTGTTCTATCCGGCCCGCGGAGCCGAAAGAGCGGAGGGTTCTCTTGCCCTCCCCTCCGCTCCTTCACCAGCAGCAGTGTTAACATGTATTAGTTCACACCAACACTCCATCCATGCTTTTGTTCCGCCCCCGGTCCAGTTTAAGAACCCATTGTGGCCCTCGAGTCAAAAAGTTTGCCCACCCCTGCCCTAGATATTGACAAGAAAGGTGCTACCAAACAAGGCCTGACAACTCAGATCCCCCAAGCCCTTTGAAAGCTATCCTAGGCTCTGTAAGGCTAGGAGAGGAAGCCACAGGCCTGCTCTCCTCCTCCCACGCTGCTATCATTAAGAACGTGGGTTTTGGAGGTTGGCTGGGGCTTTGAACCCTATCATCTCCACTTACTAGCTGTCCGACCTTGAGCAACTTGTGGCCTCCCCTCTACAAATGGAATTACTGTGAACTAGATAATACATCAAGGGTTCATTGCAGTCTGACACACGGGAAGCACACAATAAATGGTACCCAACACCAGGGATTACATGGTCTTTTTAGGACAAAACCCTGAATTGGTGGCCAAGAGCCCAGGGTATGTCTGGGAGAACGGTCTGCTTCTATACTTTACTATAGGGTAAACCCAAACATGACTCTGAAGGGCCTGGTTTGCTCCCAGGTTTCCCAGGCTCTCTGGTCTATCAGGACCAGATAAAATCAAGGCAGGGCCAGGAACTCAGCTGGTCTCTTCGCCCACTGTAACAAAATTCCCAGGGCTGAGCAGGAAGAAAACAGGACAGGGTTGGGACTTCACTCAAGAATGTGTCTTTATTGCAGAATTTGTAAGAAAAAGGATGAACCCTCTGTAAAAAGAGGAGATGTTGCCTCCAAACAGCAGGGAGGAATGAGACCTGGGTGGCTTCCCAGAAGTCAGTGTTTCCAGCACGACGGGCTCCCCTCTCCTGGCGGCACTAGACGTGTCACACCATCGCTAGCAGCTCCCAGCCACCCCTCCCCACCTCTCCTCCCCGCCCCACAACCCTGGGTCCCCCACAGCCAGGTTCCAATGGCTTTCTGAAGGCCCAGGGATAGATGTGCCAGGCTTGCCTCTTAATGGGTGAAAGTGGGTTTTGCTTCAGGAATGTAAAATGGTTGAGCTCTTTCTAGTCCAACTAAGGATGACTACATCCACCCCTTTGAAGGGAAAGGGAGCAAAGGATTTCCCTCCCGAATGTACACACTTGTGGGGTAAATGGACTATATCACAGTCTAGCAGGAGAATGGAAACAAGGATAGAAGAATATATAACATCCGTGTTCAACAGTCACTGAGTTCTAGAGGGCAGAGGGAGCACTGAGGCTTTCTGATTCCAGCCAGTGCTCCTGCTGGCAGCCCTAAGTCCTGGGGACGGTCATTCCTCTCCAACTGGGAGATTGTCCTCAATCCGCCTGATGAACCTCATCCGGATTTCTGTCACGCCGTCTCCTTTCAGGATGTCCTGGACAAACTTGGCCTCCACAGCCATCTGGACCTGGGGACAGTGGGAAATGAAGGGTGACTGCCCAGCCACAGCCTCTGGGGAGCCTCTGGGGATGGGGCTATAACTGGCTCCTCCACAGCAGCCAAAACAGGGGGCTGGTTTCCACAGGACAAGACTGTCAATTCCAACGTTCTCCTGTAGAAGGCAGTGGCCCGGCCCATAAGGAGAGACTTAGCAAAGAATACACCGAGTGAGACTGTCACCAAATAAGCCACCTGGGAATGGATGCTCTGGGCTCTGGGTGCCGACAGCCCCGTCTCAGTCTAGCAGGGAGGATCGTCACCACGTAGAGACGTCCAGCGTGCACCCTACACTCAGCAGCATCACCCTCCCAGGCAGCGAAGTGCCAGGTGATCCAAAGGCCTTTCTTCGATCCCTCTCCCTCTTATTCATTCAAGCATTTTTTTAAAAATATATTTTATTGATTTTTTACAGAGAGGAAGGGAGAGGGATAGAGTTAGAAACATCGATGAGAAACATTGATCAGCTGCCTCCTGCACACTCCCCACTGGGGATGTGCCTGCAACCAAGGTACATGCCCTTAACCGGGATCGAACCTGGGACCCTTGAGTCCACAGGCCGACCCTCTATCCACTGAGCCAAACCGGTTAGGGCTCATTCAAGCATTTATCAGGCCCCTACCACATTCAGGTGTCCCAGAAGGTAAAGAGCTGTACTCACCATCTCCAAAGCTCCCCGCAACACCCCACATAAGAGATTGGAATAAATAAGGGATGAGTGGTTATCAGGAAGTTCTACAAAGTCCACCAACGGGTTATTTTCCAAAATGAGGGAGAATTCGTCACCAGCTGGGCTCCAATTGGTGATGCTTGGAGTGATGCCCAAGTACATCTTGAATGCCACCTGTCAGGGAACACACAAGAGCACCATGGGAAGAGCAGCAGGGGCTGCACATAGGAAGGTGATGGGCTGGCAAAGGGGAACTAAGTGACTCAGGAACAAAGCTGTGGCTCTGGAAGACACTGAAGCTTTAGGCATTCAGGGCAAAAAAGGCATCTGTGCACAATTCCATACTCCTCTCTTTCAAGGTATCATATAATCAGGCAACAACTTGCTGTCCACCTGCACTTTGTAGCGGAAGGAAGCACTGGCCTTCTAATTAGGATGCCTGGCCTGAACCAGCATCTGAGCGCACAGAGGCCCCAACCCACTGCCCTGTTCTGTGTCTGAGCCCTTCTTTTTGAATGGGAATACAGGTCACTGGGGCAGAATTACCCTGAAGAGCGCCTTCCCTCTATCTACCCTCCTAATCCCAAACCCTCACCAAACTCTCCACTGTCGACCCTCTCTTGGATTTGGGCAAGATAACTGACACTACAATGCTATAGGTGTTTTATCGTTTATTATTAATCCTAGAGACCTGGGTCTGGCCAGCATTGGGGCTGGGTCGGCAGGGGGGAGGAGCTGCGGGAGATCAGCTGGCCCCGCCCCCAATGGGGGGGACAATTGGGGATGGGGCCAGCTGGGGGGAGGGGCCAAGGGAGGTTGGAAGGGGCCGAAATGGCCGGTTGTCCATCATAGTGACCAGTTGTTCTGTCATTCAGGTCACCTGGCTTTTATATATATAGATATTATGTAATACTAATATTATTAATAGCAAACATTTACTATACGCACTACATTAAGTGCATTCATTTTTCCATTTACTCCTTACAACAACCCTGTGAGGGAGCTCTTATTTTCTTCATTTTAAAGATGAGGTAACTGGTAATTAAAGAGGTTAAAGTAAGTTACCTAAGAACTAATGAATATTGAAACCAAAATATGAAGCCAGGTGTGTCTACATTCTTTTTTAAAAAAAATATATTTGTATTGATTTCAGAGAGGAAGGGAAAGGGAGAGAGAGATAGAAACATCTATGATGAGAATCACTGATCGGCTGCCTCCTACATGCCCCCTGGGCATCCGCCCTGACTTGGAATCAAACCTTGACCTCCTGGCTCATAGGGTGATGTTCAACCCTTGAGCCACACCAGCCAAGCCAGGTGTGTCTGTTTTTTTTTTTTAAGTGATTTTTTACAGAGAGGAAGGGAGAGGGATAGAGAGTTAGAAACATCAATGAGAGAGGAACATCATCAATCAGCTGCCTCCTGCACACTCCCTGCCAGGGATGTGCCCGCAACCCAGGCACATGCCCTTGACCGGATCAAACCTGGGACCCTTCAGTCTGCAGGGTGACGCTCTATCCACTGAGCCAAACCGGCCAGGGCGGTATGTCTGTATTTTTAACTGCCATGCTACTCTGCTACATCTTCACAGCTGAGGCCTGGCTCTGATTTCAGTGGGGCTTTGATACACAGGGATCATCCCAACTACTCTTCCCTTTTCATAATCTGTGCTATTCCCAAGCCACCAGGAGGGTTTCTTTGGCCCAAACAGCTGCCTAGCTAATCTTTTGGAATGCTAAGGGTCTCTCTAAGGGAGACAAAGAGTGGTCAGCTGTGCCTCCCAAAGACAACCCTTCCACCCAGGATAATGACCTTGGCGATGACATCTGCAGTTTCCCGAAAGTCATGGCACTTCCCCACATTTGACCGTGCCAAGAAATCTTCAATCAGTCGAACTCCAATGTTATAGCCCCTGGGAAGGAAACAAGAGAACAGACTATATTAGAGAATCTGAGTGCTTTATATCTGTATAAAGGCTTATATCTGTATATAAGGTGGTAAAAGGAAAATGGAGGTAATTCCAAAACATCCCAGTAAATGAGCTCAGCGGAAGCCAAAATGTTGGTTATAAGAGTGACGACCCTGTTCTGAGCGCCAAAGGACCATGTACGTTCATGTTCTACGGGGCCCCATTCTTGCTGCTCCCACAGAGGAGCTCACTCACATTTTGTCCAGCTGCTTATTCACATCTTCGTCATTTTCATAGTCCTTGCATAGCTGGGTGACCAGAGCCCCATAGGTCAGGGTGAAGAGCTCAGAGCTCTAAAAGAGATTCAAAACGCAGTCAGGACACACAAAAGAGAAAGTTTGGTGAGAGTCTGGACGGGCCTCAATGCAACTGCCAGGATTCAAAGGACGGTCATTGTGTCTGGTGGGAGGGAACATCCTCCCCTAAGGAGGGGCCAAGGAATCTGGCTCCCCATGGTCAACGTGGCAGCCAGACCCACTATAAAACAGGCCGTAAGAGGCACTTTCCAACACACCGAGGTCGGCTTCTGCAAATCCAGAACCCCACTACAGCTACCAGCCCTAAGCTCCAGTCACCGGAATCCGGTGTGCGAGCAGTAGTCACTCCCTAGCTCCTGTGCAAGGCAAACCCAAGCAGACATTTACAAATTACCCTCTGTGGGTTGGCAAATGTGACCGAGGGACTCCCCACTCCCACGGCCCCACCCAGGAACAGCAGAGGACCCAAGGGGCCCTCTCCATGGGGAAGAAGGAAGTCTAAGATGAAGTCCATCACATGACGATAGCCCTCTTCTAAGGCATGGGAAAATAATGTTCCTCGTGACACACAGCCAGAATGTTTCCAGGAAAGGGGATAATTCTGAAAGGAACACACTCTGCTGTGTATCTGCACTGGTTTCTATTATAATCACAGTTAAAAACCACAGAAACTCTTTCTCAGATAAAGAATCCTGTCACCTTCCTACCAAGAAACAGAGAGATGTGGAAGGCAAAAAGAAGTGCAACAGGGGAGGGGCCAATGGGGGGAGAGAGGGGGACATCTGTAACACTTTCAACAATAAATTTAAAAATAAATAAATAAATAAATAAAAGAAGTACAAAACCAAAGACTAATAAAAGACAGAATGAAAGCAGCAAGTTGAGGGAAAGGCATTATCAGAATTAAACAAAGTGAGATGTTAACAGTATATTTGGACCAATGGATTCACACAGATACGAGGCTAAACAAATAAGACTGCCGCTCAACCGCTCCCTTCTGAAGGGAGGCTTGTCAAACTGGGAGTGGAGCATCGTTCTGTCTTTAAGTATTCTGGGGAATAAAGTCCAACTCAAGTTAAGACCCAGGCTCTCAGGACCCAGTGCTCCTCCCTCGTCCCCATGGCAAGAATAATATATGACGCCTTTTGCTTACATACTGTGTTCTATTTTTCACCACCTCATTTTCCACTCCACAATAACTCCGTAAAGCAGAGAGGGCAGGAATTAATCTCATTTTAGAGATGAGAAAACTGAGACTCAGAATGGTTAAGGACAAACAGCTCATTATTGACAAAAGTAATTTTGGAGGACAAAAACCAAGAGCTTCTAAACCAATGTTCATTCTATACACTGTCCCCCAAAACTGCAATGTTAATAACCCCCCTAAAACGAAACAAAACATTTAGCTGCACTAGGAAGTCAAAGAGCATCAGTTTCAGAACTAGGAAGTTCTTTGAACGCAACTAAAACAGCCAGATCAGGGTATCTCCAAGAGACCTTTTACCAACTATGGCAATTCAAGAGAAGCTATTGAGGAGGAGAATGATTTTTCTAGTCAGGTTAAGGTTTGGCACTAGAATGACTTGGGCATGAATGGATGGAGACAATCCAGCAGTAACCAGTCCATAGAATTGGCATCGCTGCATTAAGTCAAGAGAGCTTTCCTTCCATTATTAATGAGCCCTTGGACAGAAACTCCAAGAGCCTCAGCCCACCATGATGCCAAGTAACAAGCATATCATGATGTTATCAAGCTCCTTACAGATGCAACAGCCCCCAATTTACTGATGAGAAAAATCAAGGTCCTAGACAGACCAGTGCGTGGTCACAGAATCAACGTTCCTGGGATGTGGGAATGGGATCCCTGACCCAGGCTCTCTGCACCCTCTGATTGGCAGGTCTGTCTCCATCTCCCATTGTGAACCAAGCCTATTTGCAACATAAATATGTAACTTAAAGGTCTTCACACTTTACAGATAGGAATGGGGTTGTGGTATAGAAAAGAGTCATTCAGTGTTTACTATGTACCAGGCACTATGTAATTAGAGAGAGACAGATAATGAACCGAATAAATAAAATATATGGCTTGCCAGATAGTGATAAGTTCTGTGGAGGAAACCGAGCAAAAAAGGAGATTAGTGGGTATTTATGTTCCTGCCAATTTTATTTTATTTATTTTTTGTTCCTGTCAATTTTAAATAGGGTAGACAGAAAAGGCCTCATTAAAATGACATAAAAGAACAGGAGGAAGTAAGGACAAGCCATAAAGATAATATCCTGGTGAAAAGTCCTAGGGAAGTGTAAAGGCTTTCAGGTGAGAGTATGCTTGCCATGTCTGAGAAACAGGTAGGAGACTAGTGTGATGAGAGAGTGAACAGCCCTGGCTGGTGTGGCTCAGTTGGTTGGGCACTGGCTGTCCTGTGCACTTTAGGGTTGGCAGTTTGATTCCCAGTCAAGGCATTTGCCCAGGTTGCAGACTCTAGTAGGGGGCATGCAGGAGGCAGCCAATCGATGTTGCACTACCATATCAATGTCTCTCTCTCCCCCTCACCCTTCCTCTCTCTGAAAATCGGTATTTTTTTTTTTTTTTTAAGAAAGAAGTGAACAAAGAGAACTGTGGAGGAAATCAGAGAAATATAGAGGCATTTACAGTCTGAAGACCTGGGTTTTCAGTCCTGTGACCCTTGTAACAAAAGATTCCACGGGACCTTAAAGGTCAGCTATTCAACCAGTTCAATTTCTTCACTGATCATAAGCACCACATTCTCCCTCCCAACAGAAATATGAATCTCTTCTGCAACACTTCTACTTTACAATTGCTTTATGTTCAATAATAATGGTCATTAACATTTATAAAACGTTACTTATCCCCATTTTACAGGTAACAGGTTAAGTAACTAAGACTCAGTTTTCTTCTCTTTTTTTTGTTTTGTTAATCCTCACCCGAGGATATTTTTCCCATTAATTTTTTAATGGCAGCACTCAGAATTTCAGAGCGTGGAAGGGACGGAGGGAGAGGGGAAGAGAGAAAGAGACATTGATCAGTCATGTCCTGCAGGCACCCCGACCAGGGCCAGGGATGAACCTGCAACCCAAGTACGGGCCCTTAACTGGGAATTCAACCCACGACCCTTTGGTGCACAAGACCACGCTCCAACCAACTGAGCCACACTGGCCAGGGCTGAGATGCAGTCTTCTTATAGTTAAGCACTGTCTCATTACAACTTATGTGACCCTAATCCATTCCTTAATATCTCTGAATTTCAGGTTTTCCCATCTGTACAGTGACGACAATACTGTCTGCCCTTCATGGTTACTGTGAGATTCCAATAAGAGGCTTGCATAGTGCCCGGGGGCATAGTATGAACTCAAGTAGATATTAGATATTTTTAGTAGATATTTTTATTCTTAAACTGGTTCTCTGTAGTGTGGTGTCAGAGAGCACCCTGAATTTTAGGCTCAAAGAGGGAGATCTTGATCCACATAAAGAACTTTGTAGTGTCCTGACAGGTTTGGCTCAGTGGAGAGTGTCGGCCTGTGGACTGAAGGATCCCGGGTTCGATTCCGGTCAAGGGCATGTACCTTGGTTGCGGGCACATCCCCAGTAGGAGGTGTGCAGGAGGCAGCTGATCAATGTTTCTCTTTCATGGATGCTTCTAACTCTCTATCCCTCTCCCTTTCTCTCTGTAAAAAAAAAATCAATAAAATATATATATTTTTTAAAAAAGAACTTTGTAGCAATCAATAAGGCAAGTAGAAAGAATACTGGGTTGTAGCAGAAGACCTCCTTCTGGGTCTGAGCTTGCCACTTACTAGGTGTGAGACTTTATGTCAGTCACTTCATGAAACCTCAATCTCCTCACACAGAAACAGTAACAGGAGAATGTGTCATGCTAGTCACAGGGATGTTAGGAGGATCTAATGAGATAATGGACTTAAAGGTGCTTTCTTTGCAGACCAGCAAACCATAGGAGCAGTTTCACAGAGTCAGTGTGATCTCCAGGTACTTCAGGTACAACCTGAGCAGAGTAAGCTAAGCCAAGCCCTACACTCAGGTGAGCTCGGGCACTTGGTATTTTCAGAAGGTTTTTACTTAGCACCCCCCCCCCCCAAAAAAAACCACACCAAATCTCCTTTAAAGGGGCTGATTTTTGGAGCTAATGCTAAAAGAGTCACACTTACTATTTTTGTCAAGAGAAGTAATCTAGTGTGACTGCCCCCAGCAGCTGGAGAAGGAAGGTCAGTCGCAGGACGGAGTCCACCTCTCTCTTCCTCTCCAGACTCCTGTCATGGAGGTTCTGAGTGCTGCTGTTAAGTAGTAATTCACCTGAGTAGCTGGGGTTGGGTTACTAGCAACACAACACAAAAGAAGGGCAGGCCTGGTTGTCCACGGGATTCAAGAACCAAACACTATGCAGACACATGAAGGCTAATATCTTTACTAATAAAAATGCTAGCTGACATTTACTGAGTGTCAACTATTTTCTTCTTTTTTAAAAAAATACTTATTATTATTATTATTATTATTATTATTATTTTAGAGAGAGAGAGAGAGAGAAAAGGAGGGAGCAGAAGATAGAGAAACATAGATGTGAGAGTGAAACATGGGTCGGTTGCCTCCTGCATGCCCCCCACCAGGGATCAAGCCTGCAACCTGGGCCTGTGCCCTGACTCGGAACTGAACCATCCTGGGACAGGATGCAATATCTACCTCAATTAATACTCAGAACATCCTTATGATATAGATACTATTATTCCTTTTTAAAATTTATTTTCAAGCTGGTGAAACTGATATTTAGGACAATGAATAAACTTGCCCAAGGTCACACAATAAGTAAGCAGGGAACTCAGGACTCAATCCCAGACAGTACTATACTCCTACGTTGGTATTTTTCTGACTCTCTCATAGATAATGTGCCTCTCAAATTAAGGACTAGGACTGCATCTCTGCATTTCCCCCAACACCTAGCACAGAGCTTTCCATAAAGTTGGGACTCAAGAAAAGTTTGCTGGACAAATGGCTGTTTCTGTTCGCACAAACTAAAAGCAGAGCTCTAGTTACTTGGGCAAATTAAACCATGAAGTTTTGAAAGGTTTAAGTGGGAACACAGCAATTAGAAGACTGGTGATGGCAGCAGTTAGGGCTGACAGGGAAGACCTCTGCTGGAGGTGGGGATGCCCCAAGCAGAGAGGAAAGGAGCATGTGAAAACCAGGTGGCTACAAAGAGGATCATGTGACAAGCCCCAAGCAGGTACCAAGAGGAACTGAATGAGAGGACACACCACACCCTCCTGCCATTCATTCAATAAATACAGACGGCCTAGTGCCAGGCATCCTTCAGTTGCCGAGAATGGAGCAGTGAACAAAAATTCCTACTCTCACGGAGGTTATATATTCGTGGGGGGGACTGAAAATATACAACTAAATATATAATTTATAATGAAATATTTAATATTTAATATTTAAAGTAGACGGTGCTATAAAGAAAAACAGTGGAGTAACAGAACAGAGAACTAATCGTGTGATCAGGGAACGCCTCCCTGAGGAGGTGACATTTGAGTAATTGTGCATGAAGCAAGTTCCAAGCAGCAACAGCCGTTGCAAAAGCTTTGAGGCAGGAGTGTGCTGTAGCCCCTCCATAATTCCCTCACTTCAGAAAAGCTGAGCGAATACTGGGGTTGGAAGTGAAGACTGCAGGTTCCTACTGAACTCATATTAAAGATTTCAATATTGATTTCAGGTTCAAAAAAAAAAGTACAGCCCTAGCTGGTTTGGCTCAGTGGATAGAGCATGGGCCTGTGGACTGAAGGGTCCCAGGTTTGACTCCAGTGTGCAGGAATCAAAGGGGGTGTGCAGGAGGCAACCAATCGATGATTCTCTCTCATCATTGATGTTTCTCTCTCTCTCCCTCCCCCTCCTCTCTCTGAAATCAATAAAAATATATTTTTTTAAAGTACAAAACAAATGCAAGTTATGAAAACTAAGCAGGAAGACCTTTCATATCTGCTCATACATTAAGGAGGAGGAAACATTTACCATGCCCTCTGCAATTTACACTGAAATCTAATTTAATCCTAGGTGGGCATTATTGTCTCCATTTTTTAAAAAATATATTTTATTGATTTTTTTACAGAGAGGAAGGGAGAGGGATAGAGAGTTAGAAACATCAACCAGCTGCCTCCTGCACACCTCCCACTGGGGATGTGCCTGAAACCAAGGTACATGCCCTTGACCGGAATCGAACCTGGGACTTTTTAGTCCGCAGGCCGACACTCTATCCATTGAGCCAAACTGGTCAGGGCTATTGTCTCCATTTTATACATAAGGAAACTGAGGATCAATTGAGAAAGACAGAATTCCAACCAATGCTCACGCTTTTCTCCCTGCATGATAATTTCCTAGCAAAATATTCTCTTTTCACCCTAACCGGTTTGGCTCAGTGGATAGAGCGTCGGCCTGCGGACTGAAAAGTCCCAGGTTCGATTCAGGTCAAGGGCATGTACCTTGGTTGTGGGCACATCCTCAATAGGGGGTGTGCACGAGGCAGCTGGTTGATGTTTCTCTCGCACCCCAGGTATATGCCCTTGACCGGAATCGAACCCGGGACCCTACAGTCCGCAGGCCGACGCTCTATCCACTGAGCCAAACCGGCTTCGGCCTAAATAGGAATTCTTAACCTGTAATCCATGGAGTCTCTTCAAATGTAACTAAATGTCTGTGTATATGTTTTTCTATTTAATATTCCTGGGGAGAAGCTCCATGACAGGTATCATCAGCTTCTCAAAAGGGGTCCGATTGAGAAAAAAAGTTAAGTCCTCCTCAGGAGCAATAGGGTCTCCTGCAGCACATGCAAAGGTGCGAGGGAAGTTTAATCATCCCCTCTAGAGCTGAAGATAACAAAAGGCCCCTGACCTGCCCAGCAGGCAACCTGGAGTACACAGTTTTTGAGCTGGAAAACAAAGACAGCATGCGGAACCGGAGGAAGTAACAACATGCCAAAGAAAAGAAACACTTGTCAAGAAGTCCCCTTACTTTGGAGAAAAGTGTCATCTACCTTCCTTTCCAGGCCCAGGCCCCATCCTGGGCAAACCTTATGGGACTCTCTGGTGTCCCGCTGTTCCCAGGACAAGAAGAGAGCCTGCCCCTTCCGGAGGGACACCACCGAGCGCCACCTTGGCCCACCCGACTCCGCGGAACACAAAGCTCCTTTCCGACAAAAGCAGCCTCCGAGCATCTCACAGCGCCCAGGCAAGTGCGAGAGAGCACGGCCCCGTGGTCGGAAGCAGAGAGACAGGGGTTCAAATCCTGATTCTTCCTAGCTGTAAATGTGGGCGAGTTAGGTAACCTCTCTGAGCTGCAAGATGGCAATAACTGCTTCCATCTGAGGGGATTACTTCGCGGATTAAGTGAGATGATACACGGAAAGTGGCTGGCCCAGGGCCTAACACACAGGGTAATAGGTGCCCACGACTGTTCTTACCGTCGCTGCTGTTGGCCTAGCGCACAGCTGCTCTGCTGCTCGCAGGCGGGGGGATGGGGGAGCTCTCTGAGCCACTCCAGCGGCCCTCCAACCGGCCCCGGGCCCGGGACGCCCCCGAGGGACGCACCCCTCTCAGCCCACCAACCTGCGCCTCCTGCCTCCAGAGGAACCACCTCCTCCCGGAGCTCAAAGGAGGACACTTTCCCAACTGCGCTCCACGCCGGACCCCTTCCCCAGAACGCCTCTATTCTGCCCCGCCCGCCGAAGTCACACGCTCCAAGTTACCATTTTCTTGCTCTCAGTGCCACGGTTCGCCTGCCTCGACATGGTGCCGGAAGCCCCAACCCACCTCGCCACAGGCCCACTCAGCGACCCCTTCTAACAAGGTTCAACCCAGCCGCGGCCCCTCAGCCTTCCGGACTGACAGGCACCGACTCACCGCGCCTGCGCGGCCTGCCGCGAGGCACCACGGGACTCGTGGTCCGGCCGACGAGGGTAACTGACCCCTCCCGCCCCAAAACGTCGGACTACAACACCCAACAGCCCCGCTGGCAGCACCGCCCCTTTAGTTCAGCTGGACTACAACTCCCAGAGTACTCCGCGCGCGGTTAGTTTGCAGAGCCTGTCTTCCCCTAGGCTGCATACAGGCCACTGGGTGGCGTCCGCACCTTACGGTAATTCTGTATCAACCACATACTTCCCCACTCCTCCCCACACCCCAGCCCCCACTCAGAAATGCTCCGCAAATTCCTCTCTCGCCGGGTTTGGTCTCGCGTACGGAAAGTCCCTTTTTTCAACTTGCTTCTTATGCTGTTGCTGCAATTCAGAGCTAGAAGATCCCAGGATGTCCCAAAAAACTAGCAGTGGCTCACATGCAAATCTCTCTCCTTCACTACAAAAATATTTAACAAACTGCCATCTGTCCCCAAACTCCAAACGCAGCCAGCATCTGCATCCTACCACCTGTACCCTGTGATGGACTATCCGGTGTATTCCATAAAGTTCAGGTCACATTCTTCTGGCTCCCTCCCTAGAACAACTGCCTGGCTTCCAGAAGAGATCATCAGTGTTGGTGGCAAGCCACTGTGGGTTATGATTCCAGTTTTGCCATTTTAGGCAAGTTACTGGATCTCTCTCAGTCATGAAGACTGGTGAGCGGCGTATACAGAGCACGGGGACACAAAGTGTGTATTCCCTTTCTTCTCGCCGCTCTCAAAATAAATAAATAAATAGCTCAAGGAACAGGTCCCAGAAACACCAGGGGAATGTGTTGGCCACACCCGCATCCATCACCAAGGGGAAGTCCTACTGTCCCTGACCAGAGCTCTTTGGTTTGAGCTCCAACAATTCCTCCCTGGCTGGTCATTTCTGAGGGGCATGGCTGGAGTAGCTGAGCACCCTCTCCTCATGTCGGCCTGACTCTGCAGAAGCAGCATTCTAGCCCCCAACCTTCATCATCACAACCAGCCTGTTCAGACTTGAGCCACCCAGGCTGGGGGAGACTGGTGGGCTCAGCTGCTCAGGCTGAAAGCTAGTGCCCAGGACTCCCCTGTCTCCCCTCAGGGTGCAGGCCAGATTATTATGTTACCCTGCTCCCTGTGGCACAGACATTCTGGGGCCTCCCGAGAGGCAGTGCCCCACAACTCTCCCTCCTGTGTCAGTGCCTAGGGGAGAGGACCAAGGGCTGAGGGTTTTGGGAAGGAACATGGGGGCTAGGGGTAGGCAAAGCAGGGGTCAGCGATCCCCAGAGGCTAGCACAGCCAGAGAAGAGCATCCCGAATTCCCAGGAGAGAGGACAGCTGAGGTGAAAGCTGCAGTTGGCTGGCCTGCCTGTTGGTCTGGGCTCCTCCCTGCCGGCTGCCTTTGGCTGCCCACAGAAACCTGAGTCACAGTCACGGACAGCCACCCGCCCCACCCCACCCAGCCTGCTGTCAAGCAGGGAGGTTCTGGAGAGACTGGAAGTGGAGCCTCTCTCCTTGCCTATCTTTCAACCTCTGAGATTCTTCCTCTCGGCCTGTGAAACCTTTTATTTTATTTATTATGTGTGTGTGATTCCTCCTCTTGGCGTCTTTTTTGGGGGGGGACTTTTCAAAAATGTCATCAATCTTAAATTAAGGGAGGGGCAGGGTCCATCTCAGGCTGATCTATAGGGTCTCCTCCTGGCTTACGTGAGAATTTAAAGGCTCCTTATAAGCTCGGGCCGGGTAGCTCAGCTGGTTAGAGCATCATCCCCATACACTACGGTTGCAGTTCGACACCACCCGCACCATCCCACCCTCCCCACCACAGTCAGGGCACATACAAGAATCAACCAATGAATGCATAAATGAGTGGAACAGCAAACTGATGTTTTTCTTTCTCCCCCTTCCTCTTTCTCTCTCTAAAATCGATTTTAAAAATTAAAACTTAATAAGTAAAGGCTCCTTAGCCACTCCAAGGGCTCTCAGTGCCACTTCCATCATTTTCCTGAATCCCAATTCCTCCCACCACCCCTCAGGGCCAGGATTTAGGAACATTTTCCCCGAATCCCAATTCCTCCCCACCCTCATCTCCTTCTCCCTGGAAAAGAACACAGCAAGGGCAACTTCCCATCGCTAGCAAGGCCTTTAGACAAAGACCTCTTCCCAGGAACCCAAAGGGTTGAACCTAATTAGTCTTGGATCTGAGTTTCTGCCCCTCCCATCCCTCTCTGTTCTTCTGCATCCCAAGAGCGGGAGAGAGGGAGGCCTATTGCAGATGATATCACCAACATCCTCGAGGACACTCTCCACCCCCAGCGCCAGGGCGTGGGCCCTCGAGGCTATGGCTCCCCAGGAAAGCAGTCTGGGTTAGACCCCCCTCATGCAGTAGTACCTTGCGGGTGGGGTAGGAGAATCTGGTGACTGTTCTTCCCTGCTGTCCCCACCCCAACATGAGGCCCCTCCCACTTCCTACTTTGTGGGTGTGAAGGCAGCCTCCAGGGCCTTGGTCCTGATTCATAGCTCAGTGTCAAATCCAGTGATTTCCTTCCCCGCTCCATCAGGCTCATCATGGACCCTGCCTCACCAAGAGGTGGTATAAACTCCTGCCCTCCTGTAACAGGATCAGAAAGGGGACATATTTCTGATCCCCATTCAAGAACTATCCCGGAGCCCAGGCTGTGGGGAGGCTAACAGCTCATTCATGCCTGTTTCTGTACAGTGGACGAGCCCTGGGCGGTAGGAGAGGCCACACAGTTCCCTGCCCTCATCTAAGAAGTCAGGGCAGCCTGTTCGAGGCTTAGCTTTGGGTGTTGCCAGTGCCCCATCTCCAGGATGTTTAATATTTGGGGGGCAAATGGGGGTCCTCAGGCACTGTCACTCAGCCCAAACTCAGAGAGAGACACCACTCTAAACCTTCTCAGTGGCCAAGGCCTGGGATCTGCCAGGGATCCTGGTCAGTTAGGGGGAGAATGAAGAGAAGTCCACTCCATCTATGTTTTCTGACGACAGCAATCTCAGGACACGTACTTTCCAGGCTCCATCCTCCCAGTACTCAGTGTGCACCCCTCAGCATGCAGGAAGCTGCATCACTAGCATCTTGTGAGGGGGCTCAGGTGCCCACACCCTCAATCTAGGGAAGGGTTCCTTCCCCTTGGCACCATTGATGTTTTAAGGCCTGATGATTCTTTGTTCTGGGAAGTCCTATGCATTGTATGATGTTAAGTGGCATCCCTCGCATCTTAGCACAGGATTTCAGTAACACTCCCCCTGTGACAACCAAAAGTGCATCTAAACCAGGCTTGTGAGCCACATGTGGCTCTTTGGCCCCTTGAGTGTGGCTGTTCCACAAAATACCACGTGTGGGCGCACACATACAGTGCGATTGAAATTTCGTGGTATTTTGTGGAAGAGCCACACTCAAGGGGCCAAAGAGCCACATGTGGCTCTCGAGCCACAGTTTGCCGACCACTGCCCTAGGGGGATAAATTGCCTCTGGTTGAGAATCACTGATGGAGTCTAATACCATACACTGTCTCTGCAGTGAGCTCTGCAAAGTCAATCTCAGATCATTAGACACAACAGAGGATTTCCAGCTCTATAGCACTGCTTATCCTTCTCCTGAAGAATCTCCATGATCTACATCACGTAGATCAAGCATGTCAAACTCGTGGCCCAAAACGAATATTTTTGTGGCCCAGTCAATATAACGGTATGTAAGAAACATTTTAATAAAAATTAATATTTTTTTCTTGAACATTAACTTACAAGCCACTGAATAACTGGTCAAAATTAATAAGTGTAATGCAAGTAACCTTCTTTTTCTTGATCTCTGAAAGCGAAATATTTCCTGTTGCACACACCAAACAAGTCAGTCCAAGACTAATGACGTGGCAATCGGCTGCTAAAAAAATCGCTGCTAGTATTAGTGGAGAGAAATGGTGTGCCTGCGTGTAAGGCGCGTAAAGGAAATGAATGCAACGTGATTATAATAATCAGTCATTAGCGAACATTGTAGTTCATTATTAATTGTTATGTATTATGTATAACAGAATATTGTAAAAATTAAGTTATAAAATTTTTATTAAAATGTTTCTTACATACCGTTATATTGACTGGGCCACAAAAATATTCGTTTTGGGCCACGAGTTTGACATGCTTAATGTAGATTGTAATGTCAAGCTCATTCATGCCTGTTTCTGTACATTCAAATCCATCCCTGGCCTATCTTTTCATTTTTAGCTACCATTTCCCCTTCACTATTCCTGAGCATAGCCAATGAGGGTATCTCACTACCCCCACCTACTAGTATATGCCTTTATCCTTGCAGTCAGCTCAAGATCAGAGGTGGGGGTGGGGAAAGATCCATCCAAGAGGGCTCTCCCCCTCTTGGATTCCATTCATGAATTCTCCTGAGTCTAGTTCACTGCTTGGCTCAGGGTGGGCCTGTCACCTGTGGAAGATGCAGGCCTTGAGGCCTCTCTGACCTCACGAAGGACAGTCCTCATCCCCGCTGTCCACGTGGTCCCCTCACCCTCACCCTGCAGATGGAGTAACTAACAACAAAGATGGGGAATCTGCTCATCATAATTTGCTTTCACCTTTGAAACCCCATCATCATCATCATCGTCGTCGTCGTGCTGATTTATTAAGCGTTTTCTATATGCCAGGCTCTATGCTAAGAACTTCATCTGTGTTAGAGTCTTTAACCTTATAACCACCCCATGATACCTCATGATACCATTATTTTCCTGACTTTATAGGTGAGCACACTGGGTTTCAGAAACCTTAAGACACTAGCTTAAGGTTACAAGCTTCATCCGCAGGCCTTCTATCATCTCCTAATGATTTGGGGCTGGAGGGGGAACTATTCCTTCTGCATCCCCTCCCCAGAGGGTTCAGGTCCCCAACTACCACTCTTAGGTTGCCCGGGACCCAGACCCCTTTGTTCTCCACCCTCCCCCTTGAAATGGCTGCTCTCTGGAGATGCTCAAAGGAAGGA